AGCCCCCTCTGAGGCAATGTTCCCTCATGGAGAGCCCCAGGCCACCATCAGCCACCCCCGAAGGCCACTGGAAAACACCCCTGCGGGTATTTTCCCCTCAGTGAAAGCTGCAGCCTGCCATCACCCTAGAGGCTGCTTTCCCTCAAGGCAGCCCCCAAGGCCGCTTTCCCTCCTCCCACTGCCCTTTAGTTACAAGAGGAGAGCTTCTTCAGAGGAAAGGGCAGGACCTTTCCTCTCACACACCCATCGTGTAAGTGACACCCACGATGTTTTACCCTTCCCCTTACACCACTGTTGATCATGAAACATCCCTGTGGGGCAGCTGGCCACCTTGCATCACCACCAGCCTCACCACGAAAGCGGAAGGCATCACTGCCACAAGGCCCTGGTGTCACACTACTGCTGTCCTGTCCCTCTCCTCCCACAGTGGTTTAAGCGATCCAACATGGCGCTTCCACCCAGCAGGACTACGTTGTAGGGCGTGAGGTGGCGCATAGGGAAGCCTCGACCAAAAATGCATAACCACCTCTGGCCTTAAGACTGAGAAGAGGCCTAGGGAAGTTGTGGTCACTCAAACAGAACCATCACAAGGAGCTAACTGCATGTCTTCGGCAATACACTTCCTCAGAAACCCCCCCCCAAGGCTAAGGGACTCTTACGAACATGAGAAGATGCAGAGGACAGCCCAGAACTGTCTGAAGAACGTTGATGAGAGAGTTACTGGGCTAGAACTATTTCATGGATTTAAGCTATCTTTAATACAGTAAATTGCTTATTATTTTCCAGAAGCAGTCTGCAAGAAGCCAGGGCAGCTACAGAAGTAGCTGGAGACCTGCGGCAGACAGGCTGCAAACACGGCTGGAGGGATCAGCCTGGAATTGTAGAGGAAAGCTCGGGACACGGAGCTTCCACTGCCAGCCTGGTGGCTCACACCTAACCCACGGACCTGCTCAGCGGCGTGCATAAAGTAAGTACCATTGTTCCAGGGGAAGTAAAGATCGGATTTCATCCTTCTCAAAAGCATAAAGGAAGCAATGGATCCTGTAGGTCAAGATGAAAGCACAGCAATAGGGCCAGCAGATGTATTAGTCTGGGGAGAGGACAGCAGCTTACAGTACAAAACCCCATATACATAGATATGTATATACAAAGTCAAGAGAAAAGATCTCTAGCTTGCCCTGTAGAGCAAACCTCCATCAGCAGGAGAGCAATTGTATTCTACATGGCATAGCATAAATGCTTTGGAGTAAATTGCTTATATTCTCTGCCTTCTAGGACCTTGTACTTAAAAAACCAGGCTCTTCTACATAGTCATCCTCATGAGGGGAAAAAAACCCCCAAACATTAAAATGCCACATGCTACTTTTTCTGCTTCGTAAAAACCAGAAATAAGATCAAGGGAAACTCAAGGGATAGTGATAATAGCAAGTCTTGGGCACGGAAGGAAGAGGCATTCCTGCAATATCACAATTAATGCCCTTGCAGTGATCTAATATTCTCCATTAGAGAGCATGAAATCAAGACGGATCACTGTGTTTAGGGGAGGAGTGGTAGTCTCAAATACTTCCCCACATGAAAGGAGCAGTAAGGCATGGTCACATCATGTGAGGGCTCGCTCTGTTAGAAAACTTAAAAAAAAAAACAATCAAGATTTACATTCAGACATCATGTGAGGGCTCTGTTAGAAATCTTAAAAAAATTCAAGATTTATATTCAGCTCTTAGTCAGCATCGCATATGACTAAAATTCTTAAGAAAAGGCCACAGTCATAGTTTAGCTTCAAAGCTGGTTATTGTTACCTTAAAGTGTTTTTTTTTTTTTTTTAAAAAAAGCAATGCTATCTCCCAGCAAGGCATTCTGATTGGGAGTACTCCAAGTGCAAAAAATAAAAACATTTCAAAACAACATTCATAGTTTTACAATGTCTATTTTAAGTCTGACATGTAGTTTGTTAGAGCACCTGAACTAAACAAAAATTAAAAATCTCAACCACCCATCAATAACAGCACTGCATACAGTACTTCCATGACAACAGCCTATACGTTTACCTCACAAATTTATAAGCAAGCCACACTTGCTTCTTCCTGTGTGCAAGGAGGGGTAACTTGTTAAACTAAAGTTGCTAGGTAGCAATGCAATTTTCTAAGAAGAGTTAGCAGTACACCAAACCATCATTTAAAATAGGGGTAGCAGTCTTAAGCTATGACTAACATTTGATGCAGTTCAGGGTTTTCTCCTCTAATCATCCCCAGTGCAAATAACACAGATGCAAGGAAAGACGCATCCCTTAAAATAAATTCAGTTATTTTGGTGACAGATGTCTTGGTTTGCCTTTTTAAAGATCAGCATTTAGGTGATCAGTAACAGGTGAAGACTCCCAGCTATCCTCTCCTCCTCCACAGTAAGGAATTCCAGGAGGCACAGGGAAATACTAAAGGGCCACAGCAGCATCTTTTGAGTATGCTTTTTCTTACTGTTTCTTTTTAGCAATCTGCAGTGCCAGGTGAAACGTAGGCCACCATCTTCTGATGATGTTCCTTCAACAGCGCAGACTTTTAGCACAGGAGGAGGCAGACATTTACCGACTTAGAATTCAATTGTGATACAGACTGAACAGAGAGACATTCAAGCTGTTTAAAAATATACCCGCAGCGTACTCCACAACACTTAGTGGTACAAGATTATCCTCCTAAATCTACACACAGGAAGATAAGCGTTCCCATTTTGCTGAGGCACAAGAGCTCAAGGAATCTTACTCACAGCCTCTGACTGTGGGGCTGATTGCAGGTGCTGAGAGTCCGGCCATCCCGTTACCACTGCTGGCTCCTCTGCCCGTCCTGCTCCCAGGCAAACCACAGGGCCAACCTCCAGCTCCATACCCTGCTTCTAGGCTAGGCTGTTGCTCACTCCTTCACCCTTTACTGGCACAAGCCTTACCTGTTCAGAGGCCTTTCCTTCTGGGACCCGTCCTGAATTATATCCTTGTTTCCACCTGTTCTTTTCTCTCTCTCCAGTTCCACCCTATATATAATTCCTTTATGTAAGTTTGCTGATTTAATTCACTAATCCAGAGAAGAAAAAAAACCTAACTAAAATGGGTAGTTTTCTTAGGTTAGCGAATTTAAGTGGTTGATGAGAGGATGCTATGAGCACCCCGGTAAACGCAAGGGAGGCAACAAAACCAAGCTGGGAGCAGGCAAGCTGGCTGTGGCTCGCCCTTCTGGTAGCGGTCAGCCAGCAGACCAGTTCAGCTGTCTGAAACAGCAGGCTACTTTGGGACAGAGCGCATGGAACACAAAAAATAAGCTGGACACATATTTATATCCATCTTGAATGTACAGAATCTTTCCAAAACTCTTGAGGAGTTTTACCCTTGCTAGCATCAGACTCAAGCATGTTTCCAAACTGAAGCATGTTTCCACACCATGCCCTCCTCCCTCCAATTTAAATTACCACAACACATTAGCCGAGTACCAGGCCAACAGTAAGTACCTTAAATTACCAAGTTATTTTGCAGGTTGCTGTAATTACATTGGCCATATCTACTTGTTTGTTGTTACAACAACAACAAACTGCCCCCGCCCCACTCAGTGTCCTGCTACAATATCAAGGCACCTTTGGTCCACTCAAAGGTGAATCCTTTTACATGTTACCAAATCAGACAACACCATAGAATGCACATTTAAAAATACAATTTATAAAAGCAGAAATTTATTGTAAATTTAAAAAAACAAACTAAGATTAAGTTTCTTGATAAAAAATATTCACACAGCATTCATGTTGTGATTTTTTTATTTTATTTTTGAAATGAAACCATTGTACATTGTACAAACCATAACTACCGATGGAATAAATAAGTGAAAAATTATACTGCTGTACAACACACACACACACAAATCATAAGATGGAAAACGATTAGGTATTGAAGAAAACAAAATTCTTTACACCTTCTAACAGGCCCTTAGATATAAAGAACATTCCAAAACATGACAATGTTTATGTATGAAGATAGCCACCCAAAACCAATATTTTATACTGCCTTGTTGATTATTTTTTGTTGTTTTGTAAGTGCCAGCACTTTTTGGAATGTTTAACAACTACTTTCCCAAGCATAAAAATTCCAAGGAATAGTTCTGCTATAAAATGTTTGGCTGAGTAAATCGCTTATTCGGAAGGCCTTCCCACATGTTCCACAAACTCAGCTAATTTACTTGCTTGCTTCTAGTTTCTTTTTTTTCTTTTTTTTTTTCTTTCTTTTTTTTGTATTTATTTGTAACTGAAGCTCCAACATTCAGCATTGTAGCAAGGAAGCACTTCTTGATATTTGCACTATTTCTAGAACATTAGCTGTATGAGAACTTTCAGTCATCTTGAAGAAAATTACATCTCTCCTTCTGCTCCACGTCTCAATGCTTTCAATAAACCCTTTTACAGTGAGTTCATAAAACAAGTTTCTGGTAGAGATAGGTCCAAGCCAAAAAAAGCTGGATTTAGATCTGGTTTCAAACCTCAGGTTGATTTGAATTCGATGTTCTGGTTTGGTCCCATCTGTACTTTCTGGCATTAAAATGTGTTTAATCACATCCGTTGGCCCATAAGTGTTATCAGGCACTTCAAAAAAAGACTAATAACAGTCTTATACACTATTTTGGATTTCTTCATACCAGATAATGTCAAAGTCTCTTCCCTTAGAGACTGACAATAACAGGTCTAAGGAACCCAAATCTATCTGCTTGTTCAGTTGTCTGTTGTCACTAGAATCTCTGGTTAAAAAAAAAGTTCTGAATGTATTCTGTATAAGCTGTAAATAAAGCATTACTACTTTAGAAATAAAGCCTCTAGGAATATGGTTATGATGCCTTGTCTTGTAAGCCACAGAACAATGAACAGTTCTGAGCAGAAGCCACAGGAGAGAAAAGGAAGTTTATAATTAAACCTGTTGATGTCAATAATGCCAATAAATGTTTTCATCTAATAAGTTCTGAATGTATTCTGTATAAGCTGTAAATAAAGCATTACTACTTTAGAAATAAAGCCTCTAGGAATATGGTTATGATGCCTTGTCTTGTAAGCCACAGAACAATGAACAGTTCTGAGCAGAAGCCACAGGAGAGAAAAGGAAGTTTATAATTAAACCTGTTGATGTCAATAATGCCAATAAATGTTTTCATCTAATATGATGAAAAATTTGAGGTATTTTTAGTGCTATTTATATATTTTATTTCTTCCTAAAGTACAGGAATTAGTTTCTAAATGAAAAGTCTATTTACTCCCTTGGAAACATCTACAAAATTAAAATTAAAAACTTGCTGCGATGCACCTGAAGATAGGGATTAGTAAACATGACTACTTGTCAAAGGTGGCATCAGATTTGTTTTGTTTTAGCATTAAAAACAACAAAAAGTTAGTAAATCAAAAATATTTTTGTTTGAATCTTTCTAGATTTGCCCATTTAATATATCAATAGAACTTCTCACAAAATATCACTTAAATCTGAATGTAATATACATACAAATCAATCGTCATTGACCAGTTATCCACATTTTAGGCATACACACAATTCAAGAGAGAATTCTACCGTTTCATTGCATATATTGTGCAAATATAGTTTTTGGCTCCTCAATTCCTTATTTTCAGAATGTTAATGGACTTCATGATCAGACCAGAAATCCCAAAAACTTATTAGGGAGCACACTGTTTTCATGAATGATTTGCAATCGAATTTTATTCAGTTAAAATCCAAAGAGTTTTATTTCAACATAAAGGAAAAGTTCCGAACTGAGTGTCATATGTTATTTCGAGTTCAATCCTACAAACATCTTCTGGAAGGTCAGTATTGGCTCCCCACTCCTCCCTCCCCCCAATTCCCCATTGTTTTTCATAATAAAGTGGTAATTGCAAACGCAATGCAGTAGTCTAAGTGCAAGCCATTTTCACTATTGGAGAATTCAGAAATAAATAAGCTTAATGAAGAGCTAATTATGAAAATGTATCAACTGGAAGCAGTTTTTTTCATTTAAAAAAGTATTTACAGTTCTTAGCTTACAAACTATATGCAACCATTTTCATAGCTGTGAGATCATATTTTAAATTACAAGTTCCATCTCCCACACGAAGTGAAGACAGCCTAAGGGCCCGGTATGTACACGCGTGTGTGTGTACTGAAGTCAGAAATAAGCGGTTCCCACCGACACCAGGTATTTATAACTGGGAGCTCACCCTGGAAGTGCAAAGCCCACTGTAAGATCAAGCCCTTGTGACCTGACGCAGGTGGTTCTGCACTTCTACACGCTGCGCATTTGAAGGGAGTTGCACATACTTAGTGCCTTTCAATCAAGTTTAGCATAAGCACACTTCAACCTAATTGAAAGAGAAGGAACATTTCTAACAATGATGTAGGGACTATGGAAACAACAAGGCTTATTTACAAGACTTGCTGAAAGAAAAGAAGAAATCCCAAATACAGTATTAACGTGGAACATAGAAGTAAACATCTTAAAAAGAAACAGTACAATGAAATCCAGTTCAGTGAAAACATGATATCAAAAAAGACCAATTGAAAATAAATTCACTGTGCATCAATCCCTTTGATCCTACTTATGTACATAGTGGAACTTTTCTGTAAAGCAAGTTGTACCCAGTACAGAGATCTGGACCTAATACCTAAGTATTTTAACTGCTGTGTTATAGTATATATTCAGATCTGGACTATAAATGGTAAACAGATCGTGTTAACTTCTGATGAAGTTAAGTATTTAGAAGACCAAATTTACAGTTGCGAATGCCATGCATTCAATAAAAGATCTCCACTATAGCTGCTAAAATAAAATATCAAGCTCCTTTTTCTCCTTGGACTCCAAGAGTGAAAATGGCTTCCTGATCTCTATTTGTTAAAAATTTAAGCACCAGGGATTTAAAAATTAAAAACAAAACAAAAACCCCAAACAAAAAAGGAAAAAAAAAAGGGGAAAAAAATAAAGCCTTACTACATGGCATTATACAAACATAGGCCACTTTGCAAAGGAGACAGTTGCAAAACAACTTTTAAAAGTTAGCACTGTTTTCAGAACACAAGGCACAAAACAAAAGCAGACATCACGCCAGAACAATGAACTTCACATGAAAGCTAATACCTGACCTGTACCATCCTTAAATATCTTACAATGTTAAATAGAGAAATGAAAAAAAAAAAATACAGCAGCAACATAATTGTAATTTTGACTTTAGAAACAGTGCGTAGACCCCTCCTGAGTTGTTTACTCCAACCATTTCAGAGACAGTAACTTAAAAGTTCTCAATGTTTGTTTCACAGGAAAAAGTTTTCAGTGTCTGAGAAGTTAAACCTTTGTTAGGCTTTCTTGGATTTTTGCTTGGTAACTTGAAAAGTTAGGAGTTCTGTCCTCATCCAAGAGAAGATGCTTAAGTAAGGTTGTTCTATAATTAAGCCCACTGATGTACCTTACATAAAAACTGACCAGAAAAATCTATAGTCTAAATCTCTTCAACATTTTGTTGGGAAGCCTCTACTTTCATCTTTTTAGAAGGTGGCACTCCTTCAGAGTCCTTAATGAGGGGGAAAAGAAAAACAACCATGTTATCATTGCACTGAATTTCAGGCGCCATAACCATCAAACAAAAACCATGAACAAATTCCCTGGTGTGGCATTTGTAAAATACAAAGCACCCCTGGATACGAGAATGACATGACCAAGTGCATTTGCTTCCTGAAATCACTCCTCTACTTACATCTTACCTCAACATCCTTACACTTGCTGTCCTCTACTGACAAAGGGCAAAATTCTAGTTCTGGGCTAAAAACCACAGTGAATATTCCAAGCAACAGCCTTGATGCATGGTTATACCCGGACTTCCCTCAGCTCCACACTCGAGCACAACCCACACCAAGGGCACACACATCTTCTCCTGCTGTAGCCAAAGCAATCTCTACAGAACAGAACACGCAAGGTTTGGAAAGTGCCAGGTGTGCACTGAAACAAACCAACCACCCGAAAGGAAAACCAACAGACTGAGCGGTGCTCTGCCTGAGGATCTCGGTGTGAGGGGAACAACTGCAAGGATAATTTCTTTCTCCCACCCACCCAGAATTTTTCCGTATACCAGTGAGTAAACATCCAAACATCTCGTCCACTGAATCTACAAAAATTAACTTTCCTAACTGCTATATGCATTTACTTTTATAGAAGGTATTTTACTTCTGAATAGTCCTCAAAGGGGCCTGCCCAGTAGGCTAGGTCCTAGCAATTTATTAACATGAAATTTTAATATTACAAAACTAACACAGACTGGTTTAGGAAACTGAAAAGTAAATCAGACCAATCTAGTCTTACTGCTCAAATTATGTGAAACGCAAGAAGCCAATCAAATTATCCACAAAACCAGGTACGTGTACATTTAATACTCTACAGCTGCTTTACTGTCCTCACCTTTGGAAATGAGTCTAAATACACAACTGGCCTCCTTACATTTGCTTTTTGGTATAAGTACTCTTTTCCAAATCCCAAGTAATTGGGCTTTTGTGCTTAAAGTTACCTGAGAGTTTTTAGATGCCTCTGTAATTATATCATTTTCTCCAGAGGACTGAATTTCTGCTTTCTCTGAACTATTCATGGAATTTTCCATTGAAGACTGTGAATTCTGTTCATCAGAGGTATCTGAAATTTCAAGAAATAATTTTAAACAAACAAATGAAAGCATTCGGCAGGAGCTTTTAGGATGTCTTCTCATTAGCAACATCCCAAACATATAAATTTCACCCACGTGTAACCATTACTGATAACAGACCTAACAACTGTATGAATATAATGAATTAAGCTCAAACTCCAGGACCACAACCACTGGCTGCTGCCAGCAGACCCACGCTGCCGGCAGTATACAATTGCTGGTATCAGTCCCTAGAGGGAGCTAAGCTCCCGCACACCCTGTACCACAGAACGATGTCAACGCTGTTAGCAAACAAGTTTCAACACAAACTTTGCAAAGGGACTGATCGCAAGGAAACTTGCTTCAAACCACAAGTAAAAGGCAGCTACAAAAAGGGCTGAATTGTGATAACTAATGGATCTAAAACTATGTAGCTAAGGAGAGAGGATAAAGTTATCTGAATTGAAATTCAGCCATGTATTTAAAATCCACTTATTTGCTTGATACTACTTTTAAGATAAAATTTAGAAATTCAGACAGCTTAACCATTAAGGTTGTAGAATTTTTAGTTCTGGTGCATACTTATGGAGAAGTCTTCCAGCTTTTTATAGCTCTTGTTATTGCTTCCAATTTTTGTGTTTGGGGGTTTTTTTGGTTGTTTGTTTTGTTTTCATTTTTTATAAACCCTTCTCTCTCTCTCTAAGCAAGACTTACAGAGGACTCGGGGTTAAAGCACCCATTCACTCAAAGAGGGGATAAGGGCACTTAAAATGTCTTTACAGGTTAAAGATCCCTGAAAGTTTAACACAGTATGTCCAGAAGCAGACAAAAAAACCCCAAACAAACAAAAAGCCCCAACCAAAACCAAACCACTGAAAACAAAACCCCTTTGATTGTAAAAAGCCAGTTATATTTCTTTCAGTATCCACATCAAGAACAGTGTAAGGACTGAAACCCATTCTTTCCTTCAACTCATTTAAAAATCCCTTTTGACTTGAATGAATTCTCAGAAGTATGCATGGAGTCAACTGTTATGAAGTGATCTCTCCACAGGTCCCTGACCCAAGAAACATATACATTTATTCAGATGAAGAGAAATGCAAGATCAAAAATATTTTTGGACAACTTTGGTTAATGAAGATGACACAACCAGCAAGTAATGGATATTTTTGTGGTGTACTGTATAGAAAGCATCACAAGCATTTCTGAAAGTTTTTCTGACTGAATTCAACATGAAGTGATGCCTATGATGAGCAGTCTCAAAGATCATATTCAGCAAACTCGGACAGAATCGTCTTCCTTTCCATGTCTCACCAGAAAAGCATGTTCATACCGAGAAAGAAACAAGTTCCAAGGGCCAGAAGGAACTTCAATTTCAGTTTCTGTTGTGTATGTCTGAGCAACTTGAGCTAAGGAGCACTCTGAGGCGCGCATCTCCCCATGGCAAAAACACACTTAAGAGCGACTTCCACAACGGACAGCTCATAACGGCTGTGTTCTCTTCCAGTTGCTACTGACAGCTACCACTCACGCTGCTGCTGGCCTTTGGGCAAGGGGATCCGTATTTTAAACTACCAAGCCCCAAGCTATTCCGATGCCTGCAATGACTTGTGTACACAGCAAAATGTTTTGAATTCACCTGTTTTCTTTGAGAAGTCCACACTGAGCATTTCTGACCACCCAAACTGTCCCCTAGCTTTAAGGAACCTCCCTGATTCCAGTGTAGTAACATGAGATAGACGCACAAGGTCATTAACCCTATCCAGTTGAAGAATGTCACAATTCCAGGGGTTTGATTGATCATAACACTTCGGTAGATAAAGAATTACTTAATAAATTTTTAAACACAGCATATAACCAATAGAAAACAAACATTAATAACGGGTATTTTTTGCCATTACTTCTTCCTTTCATTTTACAGTAACTGGCTCTGGAACTAATCCAGGGAACTTGGTATGATTTTCCCTGAACCTAAATTTAGTCAGGGGAGCACGTATGCTATGTAACAACTTCACACGAGCAGGTTCAGACAATATCAGACCTAGGAGTAAATCCTTACCGTTTACCATGAGCAAATATGCTAGCTGACATTTTCATTGAAGGATATGGCATTCCGATTTATTTCAATTTGGTGACGATTCAGTTGTCAAATTTTAACCCCAATTAACAATGACAACATTTAACATACTTAACCATTCTGGTATTACCAAGATAAAAGCTCTAAATTTAAATTGGTTAGTGGATCTACTGAGCTAAGAACTAAATCTGGAGGGCATAATTTAATTGCTCTGCTATTGGAAGAATTCTGCAACCAAATCATTAGAATGGTGTTAAGGATGTCTTTTATCTGTTATAATAGGATGAAGAAAGTTATCTTCCCAGGAATATAAATACAGAGCATGTTTCAGTTACCCAAAACACCATTTAAAGAGTAAGGTTCAGAACAATCTCTTAACCCACATGTATTTTTAATCTGTGCACAACTGCAGTACAATATTGTAACACTTTTAGAAAATTAGGACAGAATTCAGGGTTAACTTTTGAATAAATAACTAGCAGGGTTAAGAAAAAAAGAAAGCTTACATTGAAGTTTAGACAACTAAAAAAATAATTTCAAAATATCTCACCTCCATTTTACTTTCACACTAGATAACAAACATTCATGGATCTACAAAAGTCATACTTTCCAGGATTTGTGTGATTACATGGTAGCAGCCATTTAAAAAATGATTTTAAATTATTTCTTCTTTCAAGACTGAGATTATGACAACAATAAACCAAGTATTTTGTTTGTTTCCTCTCTGAAAAAGACCCTGAATGTAAATCTGACCTTTCCAGTTGTATGGAAGGATCACTGGTAGGCCAGAGAGATTATGGCCCATTTTCACATAAATGCTGAGAATTCAGAAACAGTTTCTTTCAAATTGTTATTATTCAGTTCTTAAAATGGACAAGCAAATAAATGATACACTAAAGGATAACATTTTTTGTTTGGCTTTGAAGACAGTCTTTTCAGCTCACCTTCTGAACCAGGCTGCTCCTTTGCTTCTGTCTGAGTTTCGTCAGACTTTACTTCAGTGCCGTCTGCTTGTGTTGCCAAGTTCTGTTCTGGTGCTGGACTTGAATTACTACTGTTTTCTTGTTTTATTGGAGAAGCATCAGCTATTGAACTCTGGTTGCTATTGTCATCTGTTAACAAGAGAGTTAAAAACAAGAGAGTCTAATTTGACAAGATAAAAAGCACACCTTACTTCTTCCATATTTTTCTTGTATTATTCCCTGATAACACATGATATAGTCTAGCTTGCTTGGGATCAAGTCCAAGCATTTACACTAACACCACATCTAACTTTTTTCCACACCACCACAATTTTTGCTCTTGCAGCCTATGCTGTAACACAGGAGCTTTCTAGCAGTCACTAAAAATCAGAAAACTTCAAAAAAGGTGCTCTAACTAATATACAATAAAACCAAGAGTGTTTTACTCAGATCTCTTCCAAAAGAACCCAGAATTTTGTAATATGAGTAAAACAGATCAACTGAAGCGGCAGTCTCATTTTACAGTTCATGTAACACAGGGCTAGTTAAGTGTTCGTGCTGCAGATTTACAAATACCCACCACTACAATGCTCAGATGAGCAGATAGTTTTTGAAGTGTCCCCTGAAGGTCAAAACACACCCCCCTCAAACCCCAACAAAACCCCATCAAGGTAAAATGTAACATCCAGTCCCAATATCAATAGTTTCTAACTGGTAATTGTCCAGAATATTCTCCAGCCTCCAAAAACTTGGATCACAGTAACTTTCTGCAGCACAGATCGTGTCTCTGTAGTTAACAGGAAATATTCTGCCTGTGCCCTCTTCCTGTGAAAACCAATGACAGTGGCTTAAGTATCTCAGCTAATACTTTATGGATAGCAGTGGGGTGCAACTTCCTGTAATCTTTAAGCCAGTCTAACGACCATGGGTAACCAAGAGGGAAGCTCCCGCCCCCTAAAGAAAACTAAACCAGCAAAACATTATTAGTTAAATTACTAGCGTGCAAGTCGATCCACCTTCTTCTGCATCTCTACAATCATTACATCCAAAGGACTTCAGAAACATATAGCTGGTGATGGGACCATCTCTTTTCAGAGCGGCTTGAAGTCAGATCAGATTAAGTTTATCATTAAATTGTACAGCATGGCTTAAAAACACAAGTGATACATGATAAAAAAGCAAGTAGTATATTCACCTCATAGATGGGAGAAAAAAGACTTAAGAGAATTGAATTATAAAGATGAAATATTAATCCAGATCTGTGAAAATCCTGCTCAATCCTTTAATTGCAAGACCATACTCACTGTGAACACCGCAAAAACCAACCAGGAGGCAATACAAATGCAAATAAAACTGAAATGAAAAATTTGCAACCCACTAAAAGAAGTGACCCCCTTTTATCAGCTCAAATAGTGCTGCGTTCTCAGCCATAATTGTTATCCAAACACCCAGAAGGTAAAAAATGGAAACAGAGCTGAGCTGTGCAAGCTCCTCTGTAATAAATACCAGGTTAACACTCAACAGTTCACACTTAAAAAAAAAAAAAAAAAAATTGACCTAATAGTGCCTGACCAGCAAGCAAAAAAAACGTTTTCTTAACCAGTTAATTTCATCCAGCTGAAGCAGAAGGAAGACACCATAGAACCACAGCTTGCTTTCTTGGCTCTTACAGAATTCTTTTGACCTGACTCACCTATAGAGATAAAAAGTACAAAACCTGCACAAAAAGCCACTGAGGCTTTGGGGGTCTTTTTGGTTTTGTAATAGGTGCCACTGAGGCTTTGGGGGTCTTTTTGGTTCTTCAAGCAGCAAACTTGACAGAGTTACTGCTTCACCTGACGGTAGTATTTTGAATGGTAGATATTTCTATTTTTCATATTTAGCTCCACTAACAACTTTTTTTCCCCTCACACAGCCCAAATAAAAATGGCATTTAAACAACTGTTAGTACATCCACAGAAGAGAAGTCCAAGGTACCAAATGAGTATCTGATGCTGCTTTCACTTTGACTCAATCACATTGTCCATATATCTGAGCAACAGAGAATTTCACGCTGTGAGGTTATGCTTTCATAGCAGTGTAATAGGGTAATAGGGGCTGACCTTCTCCCACTCACCATGCATGTCCATCATCCCTGGAGAGGAGCTGTTCTCTGGAGTGGTCACTTCAGAGCCACATTTTTCATCTTTGCCTTTTTTCTTATTCTTATTTTTCTGAAAAACAAAAGGTACCACAAACAAATGAGACTATCATCATGCAGAGAAATCCACGTTGCAATATAAAACCCTTCCCACTCATTAATTCTGTGAGCATGTCTCTCAATTTTAAGTGAGAAATAAAGCCAATGTAATAACAACTGACATTATCAATAATGCATTAGTCCCAATAACTGCAGGGCTGTTTTTCTAATTGTATTCTTCATGACACAAAACACTCGGACATATAGGCTTTTATCCAGAAATTCTAGTAAAGGTTAGCACTTAAACATATTTTCCATCTTCAAACAACTACACAATTTTTGTAAAAAGTACAAAAGTTCTCAATAATACCCCTCATTCTACAAACAGGGAATCTGAAGCACAATGATTAAATGGCTTGCTGAGTCCGAGAACTTGGGAGGTGCTGGCTGCTAACTTTGTACTCAGTTCAGAGAGCTACAAAAGCAAGGTCAAAAGAATCTCTGCCACACCAGGACAAGGGAAGAACATCGCTGATCAGAAGCAGGGTTAAGATTCATGAAACTACCTGATTTCTGAGCCTGTAACTCTGCTCACTGTATGGTTTATGCGTATCAATACACTGCTACAAAACTCAATACATTCTCCCTTTCATATCAGAAAGCTTGTAGAATACACCTGGACAATATGCATGCACGCACAACAGGAATGATAACAGATCTAGAATTTTAACACTGAAGAGACAGCTTTTTACCTCTTTCTCAATGACCAACACTGCAGAGACCTCCTCCTTCTCTACAACTAATGCTGTTTCTTCATTAAAACTAAAAGATGGATTAAGAAAAATCAGATTGGCCTAAAACAAAGTGCATAAGCAAGACAGTCCTACATGAACAATAGGTCACAACATGCTCATGACCGAACAACAGTATGGACTGCAAGCATTAAAACAAAGGAAGAGACAGTGGCATCCATCACGTGGAAAATCTGTGTCTGCTAAGGGATGCAGCATTTTCAATTAAGAGGTGACGTAATCAGTCTCACGGAGAAAGAGCCAGCTGCATTGCTTTTGGAGGCTCCTGCGTGCCTGCTGAGAAGACAATTAAAAGCCTGACTCTAGGAAGAACGCGTGGCAGTCCATCCATTCGGATAAGACAGTGTCCTCCAACGAGGGAAGGAACTAAAACCACAATCAAATATTGTCCAACACTGCAGAAGAAATTCAACAAGTGATATCTGGAAGGACTTTTCCCTCTATTTTAAATAGATTATTAGGCTTATTTTTAAATTCTGTTTTTACTTCAGAGAAGCCAGACTTGATTCCCTAATATGTGAAACAGAGGTGAAAGCACATGGACTTCTTTACCTTTGCAAAATGAAAGTTCAGAGGGGACATAATCTCTCTCAGGTTTGGTTTTTGGCGTTTTTTTAAAGGTAAAAAGGACACTTTTGCCACAAGAGAAATACTTAAAAATGACTGTGAGCCATTTAAGCTGAAAAGTTTTTTTTAAAAAGGTTTAACCATCAAAGTGGTGAGGTTCTACAACAGCCTTCCAAAACTAGTAGGAGGAAAGAACCTAGCTAATTCTGGTTCAAAGAAATGTCAGTGTCTTAGGAACAACATGTGAGGGGGGGAAGTAATCTAATCTGTGTTCACTAAAATCAAAGACAACTTGCATTTGAAACATGAAGCAGTAAAAAAGATCCCATTCTCCTATTCCAGTAAAAAGCAAGTATACTGTTTGCTCTGTCACAGGTGGATGAAATCGGATGTAAAAGGATGTCAGAAACAAAATTAAATAGCCAAGACGACCCCTACCTGGTATTTATTTTTAAAATATATGCACTTGTTTTAATTGTGAGAACTTCCAGAGCAAAAAGACAGAAACCTTACAACATCAAGCCTGCAAGAACTGCAGCTGCACAATGGCCTCTACTTGTAATGAACAGAATGTGACTGTAGGACACTAAAGTAACTGGTCTTGAACAGTGTCCCAATTTCAGCAAATCTGGAGCCTAAACCTAAAGATGATGGCTCAGAAAATACAATTAAACTCTGCACATAGAGGCCATTATATAAACCCATTCTTCTTAACAGAGAATCTGACTTCAGGTACCAGTCACCTTGAAAATTCATCCAGAAACTCGCTAGCAATTCTGTTTCAAAGTTCCATGGTACCCATCATGCAGGCATACCTTAACTGCGGGAAAACAATTTTCAGAAGCTGTGAGCCTAAATATCCTAAATCTCTCTCTCTCTCTCTCTCACATAGATTGCACAGCTTTTTCCCCCTATGTATTATAAATAATAAAATCAAGACCAAACATCTGACAACTACAAAGAATGAACAAGTTTCTGTAAAGAAACCAGGAAAGGTTTCCCAATTCACAAGGGGTTACTTCACAGAGATGCTGCTCAAGCACTGAAGAATACAAGAGGCTTACCACAACTCTGACAGTCACAGAAATCTGTGGTACAACAAAAGGTACAGAAAGAAACAAACTCAGTTAAAACAATGCTAATCAAAAATAGGTCTTGAATTTGGACTTTGAATAAGACAAGATCATGACACTGTCTTGTCTGAAAAAGCATCATTTTACACATTTATTAACATAGTAGTTTTCTTCCAGACAGGTCTTAACTCATATTTCAAATAAAGTAAAAGCACATGACAGCCCAAGGAAGGAGTACCAAACTTAGGATATATATTCTATTGTATCATTAATTTACTGTGGTACCATGGATTAGTTTTCTCTGTAACAATATTTCAATTTATAAAACGAGAGCAATGTTCATTTTGAAAAACAATCTGCAAGCCCTATCAACTTTGATTTTTACACTTATTTTTGTGCCACATGATTGTATCATGGCACAGGAACAGTGCACACTAAGAACGTAAACATGATGCATATGCAAAACATTTATCAAGAGAAAACACACATTACAATAGAAGCATGCCTGCTGTATTGCTGGGGCTGGACATCTTAATACAAGTGATCTCTAGAAGCATGCCTGCTGTATTGCTTGGGCTGGACATCTTAATACAAGTGATCTCAGGATTTTCCTACCCTTACTTCAGTGTTTTGCACCTATTTTTGAGCAAAACAGCAGTGATGCACAGATACAATACATTCTCCGCACAGTTCCAAACCAGCTACTTTCCTTTAAAGCATCAGGCAGAAAGAGGGGAAAAGTAATCGATGTCTTAGCTTTCCCTCCCTGCCTCCCAATTATTATGTTAGAGAAAGGTTTCAAAAATCAGTTTCAAGCCTAATGTTTAACAGTTATCTGAGAACTGATCCAAGTTGACTCCGGGAAGACTGCCACCCACTGAACCATCATCACCACTTTCTGTAGAGATCGGCATTTCCCTAGAGCTCTTCTATTCAAACACTTGCAAGACCCGCACCAGTCTTAGCTTAAAGGCTCAAAGAATAGCAAGCATATTTCTTTCGACTTTCCCTAAACATGAGTGTCATCTTGAAGAAAGCAAGACATCTGCAGGATACTTACATCATCGACTTTAGGCTCTGTTACTGGTACCCATTTGTAAATCCTTAGAGATGTGTCGCCAACTGTCACCCACTTCTTCTCCCTATAAAATTACAATGCAGGAGAAGTTAAAGTTAAACTTCAGATTCAAAAAAAGTGATCTACTATTGTAAGTTGTCAAGGATTTAAATAGGCTATTAAGTAGGATGATCTCTATTACATCGTCTTTAGTACTGCATTGTGCAAATTGTTCTTTGCATTTCACAAACTTGTTAGAGCACTGCTAACCTCCAGATTTCTCAGGGCTGTGACTCGACTAGGTGAGTAACTGCAGTAGCAGTAATAAAATCTGGATTACAGATACAGTTAAGAAGAACAGCTATTGAAAATGCAGATTTAATGCCTACAATTTTCACTTTAAGTTTCTAGAGAGCAGAAGAGGTTTTAGACAAACCAGTGTGTTTTGATTGTCATGAAGCTGTTTAATGGTATTAGAAATCTAAATGCATTTTGACCATCTGAGGTTTATTTTTGGGTAGAAATTTGCTGCCAGCAATTTAACATTCACTCAACACTCCTGTCAGACAGCTCTGAAATTCTAGCCTTAGAACCAACAGCCTTATTGGTAGCAATATGTGCCGTGATGCAGAATTCAGACTCTGGAGAGCCTAGCTCTCTTAGACAGCAAAGGCTGAGAAGGCTATCAGAGAGGGAAAAAGCATAACCTACGGCACTCTGTGCAGACCCCTGCCAGCCAGCCGTGAAGTCGTGACATTGACAAATTGCGAAGGAAATCTGGCTGGAGGGCGTCACTACATTAGGGGGTCACACAGACACAGAGTGCGGAGATGGAAAGGATGCTGAACACTTAGTTAAGGGATGAATTCCTTGAGCTCTTTACATCAGAATATTAAAGGAAGGTCCACAATGCCAGAGAAATTTCATCACAATTCTGTGATCAGTTTTCAGGTCACAGATTACCACTGCTGGTTCCTGGGTTTGCAATATAGCTCTGCAAATGGATCGATTAAAAGTTAACAACAAAGACCAATTCCATTAAATAATCAGGAACATCTGAAATTAATTTGGCATGAGATCTCAAGCATTTTTCTTTTTTAAAAACACATCTAAATAATAGATTTGGGATCCAGTTATAGATTTAAAAAAAAAAAAAAATGTTCTTTGCAGGATGGGAGAAGCTGGATGTGACTCCAAATATATATGTGATAGCTCCATTTTTAGAAAGGGCTTCCAGAATCAAAACCAGCCACATTGTACAAATGCCACAAACATCCTCCTGACTATTTGTTTTAGCTACTAAAGCCAATCTTATTTGTTTTCCCTTTAGAGGAGACACTTTCCTGTTTAAAAAAAAAAAAAAAAAAGCAGCACTATATATGGAAATTTGGTAAGTTTTGGATCTATATATGGCGCAATTTGGTGTTTTGGATCTGTCCACAAGGATATTTTAATTAAAGTACAAAACTATTTCCGATTCATTTCTTTCCCACTGCTCTTCTTGGAGCACAGTTTTTCCTCAATATGTTTAGATACATCCATTTGGGTACGCTAGATGGCTAAAGTATGTCAAAACCCAATTTTACGCTAATTTGGAGCTCTACCACTAGATGTGATAAAAATGACAGTGGAGATGAGGGTATGTCAATAATGAGAGCATACTTAATTATGAAGAGATGATCATGAGATATATATATATTTTTTTTTAAGGATACAAGACAAACCAAACTTATTTCTACTTAGGAAAACCTTTGAAATTATAGAAATAAAACCAGCTGGGGTTTTGTTTTGGGTGTGGGGAGAGGTGAATAAATACTTTTAAAAAGTTAAGATTTTAGTTTTTTCCTACAGCAAAATATTACTTAGAGATGCTGCACTGGAAAACCAAAAGTTCAAGATACCTGTTAGCATCTCAAAGCAGCCTCACACAGCATCTTCACTGGACAGACTGTAGAACACAGGAGGAAACCTATATTAGTAACTTTTTCCTTCTAGTATTAAAGTTAGCCCTGACATTTTAATTCTTTTGAGTTTCGTAAGTACCACTTTAAGTTTTGATAACCCTCAGCTATAGGGATTTTTTTACTGAATTCAATACACAGTAATTCAGACAACAATGGGAATAAGGATATTTTGTGATGGAAGTACACCAACATCCCAGTCCTGCAAACACTTATGGCTAAAGAGAAAACCCAACATCACACTGCTATTACTCAAATATTTTACATGTGTAAGCATTTGCAGTATTGAAGGTTTAAGACTGTAAAAGTATTAATAAGAAAAATGAAGACAACCTCCCCTAAAACTTAATAAAATCATTGGCAGCACAAACACAAATTTGTTAACAAAGAAATGTAATGACTTTCAGACATTTAAGATCAACAGGGTAAAATAACTTCAGGATTTCAGATGTTTATTGCAAATAAAGCTTCGAATATTATCTGTAATACTTACTGCCTTTCCATTTCAAACCAAAAACCAAACCAACCAAACAAAACAAACCCCAAACCCCCAAAACCTCTTCTGCCCTGAACACTCACTTTTCCTCTTTTGTACAAAGACACCATCCCAACCTGCTGATCAGGGACTTTCCTTTTTATTTAGTTAGAATTGACAATTTACGGATGCTGCCCATAATGGTAAGTTGCTAAATGCTGCACAAACTACAAAATATTCTCGCTGACCAAATGCCGGAGTAGGAACGAGGAATTAATGAACTCTTGAGCCTATTCTGTTGTGAAACCTTAAGTAGTTTCTCCACCTGTTTTCCTGTCTGTAAAATGGATCTGCTGTTGAACCCACTCATCCTGAGACCCTGACCAGAATTCCACCCCTGTAACTCTATTCCACCTTTGTTTAGCAATCACTAAGCAATATTTTCTACTGCACTGTCCCATTATACTATACAGGTTGATCTCTATATTGACTGATGGATTGGAAAAGGTGGTTGATGGAACACCATCAACCTGAGAGTTAATCAGGCTAAAAATGTGGCAATTATCAACTTTACTTGCCCATGTCTAACTGACAAACTCCATAGCTTTACAAAAAAAAATTTTTTCTGGTTTCAAACCTCTCCTGTTCCTCCATGAATGACTCAGGAGTAACAACACTGGAAAATGGCAAAACTTAAAATATATACAATAATATTTTTTCTTTTAATCTTCCACACTGAAAAGTATCTTAAATATTTTAGTTATAGTAAATTCAGAAACTGATCAATGCAACAGAAACAAACCCTTACATTTGTCTGAAATTGTGTTAAAGCATTTTTAAATTCTGAACCATATCTGCACAGCATTTAAAGGACAGCCAAGGATACGTAGGGTAAGCATTAGTATCAACACTTCTTTAGTGCTTATGCCTGAGGCATAATAATATCCTAGAACTTACATAATTATATACTCAATTCCCCATGCTAAATAGCCCAACACTCTTAAATATATTTATATTTTGTATATTAACACTAAAGCTCCAAAGATGAATATCAAATTCCATGTATAAAAGTAATATACCAGCGAGCAAACACAACAGTGTATATTACACTTATACATAAAGTGTCAAGGCAGCTTCTGCAGCAGCAATGAGTGCTAGAAACATTTGATGGCACAGAAACAGAAAGCCTTTACTGCCAATATATTATCATTCAAGAAAAGGCTTTCACACTTGTTTGGCTTTTTACCGTGACTATCATTTATCATAGTGATCTGTATTTACACAAGGATTTGCTCCCACATACCCCATCTTCTGTTGATGATCACGAAGTGACGTCATAATGCTGAATTTATCACATCACACTCACTTGCATTGCAACAGAGTTTGGTGAAAATCACAGAATTATGACCTCCCTGTGGGATCAAGCAAAGGAGAAAGGGGAATGGGAAAGAAAATGCCATTATTATACACAAAAAGTGCTGTAAGATGCACAAAAAAAGATTTTTTTGAAACATAGGCTTGCTTTTCAGAGCACGCCTATTGCTATGTAGATGTTTGTCTAGTGACCAACGGGAAGTAGCCCCAAATATACATGGTGTTTCTTATCCACACTGCAAATACAATAAAATACCATGTAGCATGACTGGACAAAGACTAATGGTTAAGGACACCTTCTCTCTGAGTTTATCTAAATATGGTGCATTATGAGAGTCCCCTTTAACTTACACAGGCCAGCATGTTTTTAAGCAAGTTCTGCTATGTTCCACGTTGCAACAAGCACCTTTTCTTACAGTAAGGAGAAACATGGCTTATGCATGACAAAACTCTACCTTTAACATACATCCAACTTCCACCGAAGTCAGAGAGCATATCCTGGCTCAAAAAGAAATAATCACGAGCCAGAAAAAAAGGTATCATAATTCAAGCATGATAGCAGCGTGTTTGGGCCACTACAGTACTTCAGTACAGTTCCTGCACATACACTGAGTATTTTTACTTCAACTGCCACTACATGAACTACAATCTTAGCAGGAAACTAAACACAGGCAATGTAGCTGGGGACTAAACTAGGGTGGCAACCTGGTAGTAGCAAACAGTATTTTCCAAAGACATCACATTAAGAAGTTCTATGTCATAACTACTTTTCAGAGCGAAAGCCTGTTTTAAGAAGGAAGCACGAGCAGCAAAACCTGCAGAAGCTCAATCTCAGAGCATTACGTACCACACAAAAATATTTTAGCAAGTCTGAATGGAGACAGTGAACAGAAAAACCACAGCAGCATTGTCTAGAAATTCTACTCTAACTAGCCACAGCTAGCGATCCCAACCAACGGTACCAGGTAACGTGATCTCACTGCCCGTGGTGACTTTGCTCCTCAACTTTTACACAACATGCTTTGTTTTAAGCTACACCCCAAGTCATGTCTGGCTCTACAGCCAATTCCCTGCCATAATGAATATTTAGCACTTTCTGTAAGTACTTTCATCAGGTGTCCAAGTTCACCTCTTCTTCAGAAGGTGCTATCACTGTTCCTTGATTATGGCTTTGATGGGTCAGAAAAAGGTCAAATGACTTCTGCAAAGATACTGCAATTCAAAAACAAGGCAACACAATGAGATTTCCTCATTCCTGGTGCATTCTCTAAATCAGGGTACCCATCTCTGTCAGCCACACCATGGCTCCATCCTTAAATGTTCGCACAGTTGTCCAAAAGCTCAGCAGTGCTACGTGCCCATGCCAATTATTTCACTGCCTCCCAAGACGTCCTACCACTTATACTTGCCTCCTGCCCGTTACTTGTCTTTTAGTAAATGTCTGCATTTTCTTTCATTTAATAAATCAGACTTTTATAAAACAAGAGTATTTCCATATTTTTCCAATGCTGATTGAGGGCACAATAGTTTTTGCCTCTCTCTTCTTGAGGACCCATTTAGAATCTACACATACCCATCGATCTTTAAAGACAAAAAACAATCCTGTACCTTTCACAAATCACTGAGATAAATTTATCTCAGAGGATTTTTTAAAATAGACTGAAAGAAAAAATTGTAAGTACTGTTAAAAAAAAAAGTAGAACTACCCTCTTAGCCATGGGAATTTAACATTTTTGCCACACAAATACAACACAACCATATATTCTGTAAGACACGTGCTATGTGTTTTCTAAAACAGATGCTCATTCATGAGAGTGGTTTAAACAAAGGAGATATGGTTACATTAATCTCAAGATAAAAACGTAACAACTTCACTGTTTACTACTAAGTTCCAGTAATACCAGAAGTGCGAGGTGCTCTACAAACACACATAAAGATAGGGTACCTGCATCAAAGGGCTCACTGTCTAAGAAAGAACGCGTATTTTCTAAGGAACGAAGTCTGCACTGATGGAAACCGCTTTCCAATAGGCACGTTCATAGACGTGGCAGTACAGGCATTCGGTAATACTGCACAGCAAGGCTGCTGCACACCTTCACAGACTGATAAAGCTTTGGGCAGCATGCACCAGAGCCACTGTCCACTCCAAAGAGTTTACAGCTCGGTCTGCCTCTCTACTCATCCTTGGCACGCACCGCTCTGAGCACACAAGTCGCAGAAAACTCTGTTCTATGAAAGGTTGGATGCAAGGTATTTTAATCTTCAGTGGCTGCATTTCCACAGAAGAGCTGTGGATGGCAACAAATTGCTCCTATTATGCAAATAAAACTGCACACTTGGAAATTGCCTATGTGGCTCTTCTGAAGATGCAGGAATTGCTAATGTGTAAAGTTCAATTTAACAAGCCAAGTCTTCTCAAAACGTTTAAACCACAAGACATAGAATCCCTCTTGCTAATTTCCCACTGTACTTGACTGCAGGTGGGGGGAATCATGAGATTCACCTTCAAATTATGATTCCTTTAAAAATAAGAAAAATGGTTTATGTAAATACTTGTGAGATGCACACACAAAAAGCCATATGAATACTTCTGACAATAATCAAAAGAAACATTGCATGATCCTGTTCAGGAACCCTTTAAAGCAAGTTGTCTCTCATGATAGATAAAGTGTACAAAATCTATTTATACCTTAAGATTTGTTTTATAGAGGAAGCCATAGCAACTGACATGATGGCAGAGAGCCCTTGCCAAGGAAAAAAAAAAAAAATTAGACATTTTGTTGAATGGCCAAGCTTCTGCCTCTACTCCTCTCTGAAATCCACAAACTAGGATTCAAAGTATGCTGCGCTCATGAATGAAATACCTACAGGCAAAATAGTCCCACACATCCAACAACGCTCCTGTTTGAACAAAAGTCCTGTCACACCGCTATACATTGTTCTGACCCTTCAAAGCTGGCCCAGCAGTCAGCAAACAGCGCTTAAAACCACCACCCGAGTAGAAGAGAGTTCCTGAAACCAACCGAACTGTGGTGCTCGGGCTGCTCCGGCTCCCTACACAATGGCTGGATTCTTTGAAATCCCCATCTCGTGCCCTGCGTTACTGGACACACGTCCCGATTCTTTGTCCAGCTCAAGCCAACGGGCCCATTCATCTGCTCAAGGCCATTTAAAACGCAACAATCCGTTTCACCCGAATAACACACGTTTAATTCTGTATTTTGCTTTTAATGAAAGCGAAGCGTTAGCTGTGGACTGCAATAAAAGTGCCCCCTTATTTTACCAAGTTCAAAAAAGCTGAGTTATGCAGATTAATACTAACCCAAGGGATTTCCCCGTGGATTTCAAATGTTTAAAGAATTTTAAGATACATGCACAAAGACTACTGAACAGTCAGTCAACTTGCTGGAAGAAAGAGATTCCCTCTCGAGTCACACTGGCACCGCTCTTTATCCCATCCAAAAACCCTGGACCGACTGTGCAGAACACTGCAGTGACTGTTTCACTGTATTGTTTAAACACCTCATGCGGATTTTCCTAACAAAAGCAGAAAAAGACAAAAGCGGGAAAATGCCAAAACACGTTTAAGGCCTAACAAAAGGGAGTTATTTCACCAGGGGTACAACCTTCAATTATATAATTTAAAACAAATTCCAGCGGCAATTACGCGCTCCCTCCTGCTCCGCTCGGCATTTACAACCGCCGGAGCGCTCGTGGGAGACGATCCCGCTCGGGTTTGCTGCGCTTACGGGCAAACCTCGGGAACTTGAAAGGTAAAATAAATAAATACATGTGTAATAATGAAAAATAAACTCTCGGGCGCTTTACAGGGGTATTTTTAATGCTTTTTATGTTTAAAAAATACTTCTTTGAGCTCTAGCTCCACACACACCCGGCGGCGCAGCTCCCCCAGGCCCGCTCCTCGGGGCCCTTTGTA